GTCAAATTCCTCCATGAACCAAACCACAGTATATAATTTTTTTTTGCAGAGCCCTGCCTTGTGGCCGAAAACCGACGGCATTTTGGTCATGCGGGAATGGTTGAGGTAAGAAAAATTTAGATATGTCCTTCGTATGTGATTTTGAATGTGTCTGAGGTAGAATCATGTTTTATTCTCGCTCAGTAGTTTCTGTGCCACTTTTGTCCCAGTGGTAAAATTGCAGTCCAATTTTAAACTTGATGTGCCAATGTATGTATAATGTTTTGAAGATAATTTTCTTTGAAGAACAAATCGTTCAGACACATGGTATTTATTAGTCATTCGGGCGTATAATGTCCGCTGCTACTAATGAGACCAGGAAATATGTGCCCATGTACCCACCCGTTAGTAAGGTTCAGGCACTCATGTGTTTAACCAGCGTTGCCGGTGTATCAATTTAGTTAACACCAGGGATTGTACGGGGTGGTGCATGGTAGGGAGCAATATTCCAGTCCCGTCTCCTGCGATTACGGCCTCGGCGTCTAATATAAGAGTCAGCGGTGAAGAGCAGTAGCCAATGTTCGATACTTATGAGCGCCGTATCTTCACAAGGACACGCCGCTCCGCGTATTGCCCGCGTAGTGTGCAACATGAACAGTTAAACTATTTCTTGTAAGGAGTTTCCTGAGCATATAGCCTATCCCACAAGTTTATTTGCAAAGGACATTAGATGATATACACGATAAAGCCCAAAGTGCAAAAGTATGTTGTTTAAGTGACATGAAGTCATTTTTGAAAGAGTTCCATCACGTACACAACCACCCCACCCCCCCCACCGCCGCTGCCGACGCCGCCGCCGCCGCCACCGCCACCGCCATCTTGAGAAAGTGATACCATGTCCTAAAAAGTGAATTTAGCTGAGAAAACTCCGAAGCATTTACTTAAAAAAAACAATAAGGTTTTCTTCAGACAAGTATCAAAGATTTGTGCACATGGGCATCAAGTGCATGTTGTCTGTATAAGGAAGGCTATTACTCTACTGCGACATCGTCATTCAATGTCCTCCGAAGCCAGTACTAATCATGAATATACCATAAACTGATTTTTATCTTCACCATGAGGCCTTGCTAATTTCTACACTATTTGAATATCAACTGGACCGTCGATTAGATAATGAAATGCAGTTACAGAATGAAATCAAAACGTCACCTGGACTTTTAAGTTCGCGAATCTGGCTTTAAAGAACCCTCGTAAGCTAATGTCTATCAGCATGGCCTTTACTTCAGCGCCGAAATCACCTTTAGTGGTTCCACATTCTTCTAAAAACACCAGTTGCAAAAAACATAATTTTCTTTTACAAGAAGACAAGAAATAAACGAATTTTCAAACGAATTTCTACCGGCCGGAAAAGGCTTTTGCATATTTGATAACATTGGATCGCTGAATAACAACATAATTTCATACGACGTCTCATTTCTATCACAAAAGCTCGCTTTTGTTTAGGGTCAAACCCTGAACAATTGCGGAACTATAAGTTAAGGAAAAAACATACGTGGACAAATACAATGCTTATTGCAAATTAACTTCTGCAGATTTAGAACTTTGGGGCCTTTTATGCATCTAACCGATCTAACCGATTATGTGTAAATACTGTATATGTGCTGGGTTTCGTTTGTCATACGATTTCCGCTGAATGAGAGTTAGTGCTTCTTCTACTTCGTATTTTTGTGCTATTTTCGTTTTCCTCACAGCTTACAGTGCCTGTTCCCCCGGAATGACGACTTTATGTGACCTTAAGAAGTCTATAATTATTTCAAATGTGGCAACCGTGAAGGCATCCCAAGCGGCACATCTTCCTCTATCCGTTGATGTAAGTTTCACGTCTGCTTTATGTTTCTGTGCAATTCCCCCTTTGTCCATGACTTACAGGGTCTGTTCTCCAGCAAAAATGGCACCCTATTTTAGAGCCCAAATTGTCAAAATCTCCATATGTTTGGAGCAAAAACGGTCTAAAACTATCTAAATCTTGTAATCGTGGTGGCATCTGAAAGGGCACATCTTCCCCAATGCTTGATATTTTTGCGTAATTTTAACTTTGCGCTATGCCGGGTGCTATTTTGCACAGAGAATGCTCCATATATCCGAGCATAAAAGGTCTAAAAAATATCTAAATCTTGCATTATTTTTGTCAATTAAAGGGCACATGTTCCTCTATATATTCATATAAGTTTCGTATCCATATTTGCCGTAGTTAAGGTAATACCTGCAAAAGGAAGTTCGAGTTCTTGTCAAACCGCCTCCCACTTTTGTGTAATTCAGGGTTTGTCTGCGCTTTACCGGTCTTTTCACCTTTTCTACTTTGACAAGTGGACTGAGGTCCCCACTGTGTCTTGTACCTTCGACCGCTGTGGAGGAGTCACCCTTGCATGTTAATTTTGAGTGGACCAAACTGGAAACCGTTGTGTTTTTGTCGAGCATCAAGCCTTTGACGTATCTTGTGTTATTTTTATCAAAGAAAATATTCTAATGCTGTAGTGTGGTAACAATTTGAAATAAGCAACTTAATACTGCTGTTTTATATATCCAAGCCTTGAGTTTTAAATGACACAGTGTGAAGTTTCCTCCTTTCAGTCAAGAGCATGTTGAATAGCTCCACATTAAATCCAGCCTTGAAAGGTTTATTGTAAATTTCACTTTCAAAGTGTACCATACTGAGCATTTGCCCTTTGTCAATTTGTAGCTACTCTTGGGGAAAGTGTTGACACTGAATTGTATCCTGACTGAAGTATGTCTTACTGACAGAGTTGTAGTCTTATTTTTCTTTTGACTGCAGAGCTTGTAGTACTACCGTGCAGCTGACCACGACATCTGCCAATCAATCCTCCCCTTCGTAATTCATCACTTTGCATCTTGGTGGCAGAAGTCTCAGTTGAGGTATCGTTGCATGTGATTTTGATTGGTTGCAAAACGCGACGTATATTAACCCTTCTCTCCCCATAATCAGTAGGTAAATTAATTTTACTTGTTATGGTTACGGGCAGTGGAAAGTCGGTAACCGAGACCGACGAGCCTAAACCCTATTATCGGCCTGCAGCTAAACCCAATTCTTTCTTGCTTCTACCTAGCCAAAAGAAACTCCCCACTTTTTATGGTTTGCTGAAGCTAAATTAGAACACTGGATAAGTGAGATGAAATCTGTTGTAGGGACTAGACCTCTCTCTGAACTAGAAAAAGTTGACTTTCTATATCAACACCTTAGTGGGCCGGCGAGAGATGAAGTTAGGTATCGAGGGCGAGAATCGCTCGATATAATCTTTTCTATTAGAGATACTTTTGGTTTGCAGGATCGTCTGTACAATTGCAGAGAGCCTTTTTTGAAGGAAGCAGAAGGTTGGAGAAAGTTGAGGGATTTTTCTCACGGTCTGCTGGAATTTTTTGAAAGGCTAAACGCAAATCTCCCCTCCTCATGGATGACAAAGAACATCTCCCCAATGATCAATTTGCTGAAAGTGTCACGGATCCCACCCTACGTAAGCAGTTAAAAAAGTGTATTAGTAGTAACTTAGCAAATTATCGTCAAGATTATTATCGTCAAGAGGTCCTGTTAAGCTGCTTTATAATTTCTGCTTTATTCTGACGTTCTATTCTTTTACGTTTCATATCCATATTTGCAGCAGTTAGGGAAATATCGTCAAGATTAAGTGTGGGTTCTTGTAAAACTGCGTTGTAGTTTTGATTTATTCCGACGTTGCGCAATGCCGGGTCCTGCTCCGCACAGAAAGTGCTCCATATATCCAAGTATAAAACGTCTAAAAAATATTTAAATCCAGCAATCTTGATGTCATCTGAAACGGCACATATTACTCTATCTATTCGTATAAGTTTCATATCCATATTTGCAGTAGTTAGGAAATAATTGCAAAAGGAAGTGTGAGTTTTTGTCCTACTGTCTCCAATTCTTGCATAGTTCAGGCATTGCGCTACGTCTGGTCCTGTTTGGCACAGAGAATGGTCCATACATTCGAGTATAAAAAGTCCCAAAATTATCTAAATCTATCAAACATTGTGTCATCTGAAATGGCACCTGTTCCTCTATCTATTCATATAAGTTTCATATCCATATTTGCAGTAGTTAGGGAAGTAATTGCAAAAGGACGTGTGAGTTCTTGTCCAACTGCATCCATTTCTTGCTTAGTTCTGGCATTGCGCTATGTCGGGTCCTGTTTTGCACATAGATTGGTCGATATATTTCAGTGTAAAAATTCTAAAAATTATCTAAAACTAGCAAACTTGGAGTTTATTTGAAAGGGCATATGTTCCTCTATCTATTCATATAAGTTTCATAACCATATTTGCAGTAGTTAAGGAAATACTTGCAAAAGGAAGTGTGAGTTCTTGTCCTACTTTCTCCAATTCTTGCGTAGTTCAGGCATTGTGGTATGTCTGGTCCTGTTTAGCACAGAGAATGGTCCATACATTCGAGTATAAAAAGTCTCAAAATTATCTAAATCTAGCAAACTTGGTGTCATCTGAAAGGGCACATGATTATGTATCTGTTCATATAAGTTTCATATCCACATTTGCAGCAGTCTCCAATTCTTGCGTAGTTCAGGCATTGCGCTACGTCTGGTCCTGTTTGGCCTCCTATTCCTCCGTAGTTCTGGCATTGCGCTACGTCTGGTCCTGTTTGGCCTCCTATTCCTCCGTAGTTCAGGCATTGCGCTACGTCTGGTCCTGTTTGGCCTCCTATTCCTCCGTAGTTCTGGCATTGCGCTATGTCGGGTCCAGTTTTGCACAGAGAATGGTCCATATATCCGGGTATAAAACGTCTCAAAATTATCTACATCTAGCAAACATGGTGTCATCTGAAAGGGCACATGTTCCTCTATCTATTTGTATAAGTTTTATATCTATATTTGCAGTAGTTAGGGAAATATCGTGAAGATTAGATGCAAATTCTTGTAAAACTGCTTTATATTTTCGCTTTATTCTGACTTTGCGCTATGTCGGGTCCAGCTCTGCACAGAGAGTGCTCCATATATCCGAGTATGAAAGTCTAAAAAGTATCTAAGTCTAGCAAACTTGGTGTTATCTGAAAGGGCACATGTTCCTCTATCTATTCATATAAGTTTCATATCCATATTTGCAGTAGTTAGGGAAAACTAGGAAAGGGAAGTTTGAGTTCTTGTTAAACTGCCTCCTATTCTTGCGTAGTTCTGGCAATGGGCTATGTCTTCTCCGGTTTTGCACATGGAATGGTCCATATAGCCGAGTTTTGAAAGTCTAAAAATTATCTAAATCTAGCCAGCTTGGTGTCATCTGAAAGTACGCATGTTCTTCTATCTATTCATAGAAGTTTCATATCCATATTTGCAGTAGTTAGGGAAATATCGTAAAGATTAGATGCAAATTCTTGTAACACTGCTTTATATTTTTGCTTTATTCTTAGTTTGCGCTATGTCGGGTCCTGCTCTGCACAGAGAGTGCTCCATATATCCGAGTATGAAAGTCTACAAATTATCTAAATCTATCAATATTGGTGTCATCTAAAAGGGCACGTGTTCCTCTATCTATTCATATAAGTTTCATATCCATATTTGCTGTATTTGAGGAAATAATTGCAAAAGGAAGTGTGAGTTCTTGTTCGACTGCCTCCAATTCTTGCTTGAATCTGATGTTGCACTTTGTTGGGTCCTGTTTGGCACAGTATATATCCGAGTATAACAAGTCTCAAAATTATCTAAATCTAGCAAAAAACATGGTGTCATCTGAAAGGGCACATGTGCCTCTATCTATTCATATAAGTTTCATATCCTTTTTTTGCAGCAGTTAGGGAATTACCTGGAAAAGGAAGTGTGCGTTCTTGTCGACTGCCTCCTATTCTTGCGTAGTTCTGGCATTGCGCTTCCTCATTCTCATGTTGCTGAAGCTGGCACGTTAAAAATTCATTATTGCAGTTCTTGACTGGACTTGATGAAATTTGATTTCTTGTCAGAATCTCCAAACATGCCTTGATTCATAATACATGTAATTGCACTAGTACTATTTATGCTGTAGATGGAGTGTAATCACTCCACTGACTCGAATGAAGTGTAATCACTCCACTGACTTGAATATCATTGTGATGTCATGTTTGTTGCCTTCATTTTGGGAAAGGTGCCATATTACTTTTTGCATTGCAAGCACGAACATGATCCTGCGACTATTGCGTCCTGTATGTGTCAATATTATTACTGTACTTTGAAAGCTTTCTAGAGATGTTTTTAAAAGATTCCACCATGAAGTTTTTATCCTTTCGTAGTTTGTGTATATAATGGGTCTTAGTGTTTTTATCTGTGTATTTAGCCATTAGTAATATATTTAAAATTTGAGAGTTTCATGGTACATGTATTGCACACGGACGATTTTTTTTTAAACTTCTCTAGCCGGCCAGGTCTATGACTATGCTTTCATGCACTTTAAATTTCACCATGCATGGAGGAAGGAGATTAGTGTCCCTCCTCCATGCCTGGACCATTTGTGGCCGGCCCTGTACGTAGGCCAATAACTGCAATTCAGCTCTCTCGTGGGGTTAAGCGGATTTGGTTTGCTGATATTTAAGCAAGTGGATCGACTCAGCATAACTTTTTTGGATCATATCTAAATACTTAAAAGTTTGAAAATATATAATATAGACCTACATGTAACATTTCACTATATCCTTTGCTGTAAATATAGATACATGTATGTGAGCTTGCTGTATATAGCGCTTTTGCATATTTTATGCCTAACCAATGTATCAGCTATGATGAATGATATGTTCCAGGAGATTTGTTAAACGTAGACGTAGATGTACATGTAGTTTGTGGAAATATAATCATTCTAGCAATATTTATTACACTACTTTTAATTTAGAAACATGTAGTCTGTAGTTAACAATGAAAAACCTGTCAAAACCTGATACCTTGGAACTGCTGCTGGATATTTACTTGAGAAAACAAACCCCCAAAATTAGGAAGTGAAAGGGAGACCAACTTTTCTGAAAGAGGCTTCTTGCTCCTTGAATGTAATATGAAATGAGCCGCCCACTCCCTCCGATTCAGCTCCGTCCCCGGAATTGTTTCAAACAGCTACTCAGCTATTCTGAATCCTACCCTTCACGATGTTGCATAAAAAAACTAGTGTTGTTGAAACTTGGAAATTCATTGAAAGTCTTACGGCCAGTTTTGTAAATAAAACAAATATACTGGTACCGGTACAAACTGTAATTAATCAATTCTCTTGGGGTACTTTTTTACATTGGAGATGACACAGGTAGAACATTCTTTTAACATGCACCTCTAAAATTTGTGGATGGGGGAGAGTGGCGGGGCTTGGAGGAAGTCTTGGTAAACTGAGCCAATTGTAGAGACACCTACAGAATGTCCCCCCGTCCATTTCTTTCGAACAATTAAAGGCCTGACTCTCCAAAGACAGACTTGAGTGAGGAATTGATCAGTGACCTTGATGTCATATCACTGGTCTGCAGTTACTCAGCACATTTAAAATGCAACGTTGGGAGTCAACATGTTCAAGAAGCAATCAATTTTTTTAAATGATTTCCTTGGCACTTGCCACGGACAGACTCACGGAGAGAACCTTAAGCCAACCCATTTAAACAGTCTACATTGCAACAAAATGAATTGTCCTCCCAATCAGTCATGGCTGGTGCATATGAGTAATCATCGCGAAAGGTGAGCACTTCAGTTTGATTTCCTGCATGCTTACTCCCCTCAGTGTCCTGACATAGGGATGAAAAAAAGCTGGCATGTAGGATGGCTTAACCAATTAACTCCCTGAAATATGTCAGCTGATTACCGCCTTTGATTTGAGTCACATGACGCTCTGTCCAAGGAAATTTTATGAAACTCCTTCTAATGATGATGAATATATTGTACTCAGAAGAAGCGTTGAACTGATTTGTTCAAATGTTCTGGTCTACTCAGCCTAGCTCTCGATGTTGAACCTCAGAGAAATTTTCTCATTTAAATTTCCAATTCTCCTTGCCACAAGGCCGGCAAAAAGTATCATGCAACACAGGCTTATTTCCCCTGACGTATTTCTGGATTGAACTTTCAAATAGTGCACATTTGTATATTTTACAACTTTGATCAATCAACTACGGTGCTATTAAACACAAGGAACTTACTTGATTGCCATAGACAAAGATTTCAGGAGTCGTTGGATTGAAACAAAGAGATCTGCCTTCAGTGGGAAAGAAGGCAGAGGGTAGATAAAGGAAGAGAAACGTGAGCAATTCACAGCTCCAACCTGTAGAAGCTGGTCAGTACTGAAGGCGGATGGAGTGAACACCCTGTAAGTCATTCGAGAAGAAAAAGTGAAAAACAAAAAATGGCATAAACAAACACTGATTACATTTGACATAAAATTAGCTACACCTAATCCTTAACCACTGCGCACCGGAGAGCCCAGTTTTGGGTACCTTGGGTTTGTACGCAAAGCCAGGGTGCCCGAAATCGGACAAAAGTGCTTGGGCCTTGTAACAAAAGACCGTACTTGAAACAAAGACGGAGCTGCTGGGAATTGCCAACATTTTTTCAGTTGTCAATAGCGGAGGAAATCCATCATTGTTTTGAAAGATTATACCACTGTTGGTGGCATTCAGCATGAGCAGATTACCACCGGGGACAAAAGCCCTGCAGGGATGAGCGATACAATACCGCTGCACGCTAATCTGACCCGTATTGAAAAAATCCCAAAAGCGCACTGTGCCAGTTTTGGGACCAAAAGAAACTTATGTAACACCACACAATCTGGGCTCTTTTTACAAGGCGGCAGGCCTGGCTGAAATATTCAGACATTAATAGATGTTGTCTTTCAGATTAGAGTAGCCACCAGACAGTCACTCCATGGGGTTTTGGCATTCAGGAAAAAAAGATTAGAATTTCTGAAGATTTTTGAAAACCGAAGATTTCGAAAAATCGCCCGTATGTATGTACTGCACCTGGTGGGAAATGGTTAATAGCCTCAATGGACACAGAGTGAAATATCAAGTTCTTCATTTCTTCGTTTTCAGACTGTAAAATACTCAGGCAGAGAGACTGAACTGTCTCACACGTGTACATAAAGTTATATATGACATCTTCAGAAGCAAAAAATTACACGTAGATGAAACTTCCAAGCATAGGACAAAGCCTTAGTTAGTGTTACTTCTGACTTAGTAGCTTGATTAGGTCCATGAGGGCGTCCCAAGGACACTTTGTCTGATAATAATCAGGTCAAGGTAGTGCCTCGACCGCATTACCTCATCACCTTGAGAGGGCAGCAAGGGACCTGTTACATTTCCTATTGCGTGCATCATGGTACCATCCAGGAAGTGAGGAAGGTGGAAGTCAAAGGGACCAGGGACTCTTAACTTGACACTGACACTTAACAGCCAAGAAACTGACACAAACTTGTGACTTCCTTTCAATCTAACAATTTCACGTTGTCTTGCAGTCCCCTACAAAAACATTTTACAACTCACAAAGGTACTTCTAGTTCCAATGAAAATTGCTGATTCACTGTGTTTCACTCTGGGTCGAGTGCCAAGATGGTGTTTCATAGACACAAAACTGTGAAATGACACACTCTGTGAACTTGGTTTGCATCCAATTCCAATTACACACATCAGCACCGATTTTTGTGTTTGCTGTCAGTTGCCTGATTATCCATCGCTCAACAGTGATACGCACGAAATCTGTGGTTTCCTTTCCCCTTGTTTCCAATCAGCGTGGTGAAAACCCAGTACTTTTCCTTCCTCCTCGTACCAGATTCCCTAATAAGATGAAAATGTGCAGGCACACCAGACCCCCGACCACAAAAATGTGTAGGAATTGTAGCAATACAGATCCAGATAGAGGCGTTGAAGCATAAAATTTAAAGCAAAGGCTTTTTGATTTCAATCTTGACTTTTTTGAACAATGAGATCATTTGGGAAAAAGTCCATCAAGCAACATTATGAGTAAGTTCATTGATTAATATTAGATGGAATATATGAAAGAAGGCATTGCGATATTCACAGCTACTGTGTCGTTTTCAGCATGCGTTTGATTTTACGTCAGTGTATGCGCTTGGATCAGTGGTACGTATGGTGAAAAAAAAGAAAGACCAGTCCTCACATGGTCTACAAGGTGGAGAATGTTGCAACATGCTATCAGAAACTGTTTGAAAAAATTGCATCTTGCCTCAAGTTTTTCAATTCCATGGGCATGCTTTCTCTCAAACAGATACGTGAACATAGTAGGACACTTTCTAAAATGAATACATATCACTTGATCTCCTATTCATCAACACGTTTTCAACAATATTTTTATTGTAAGTATTTGTTTCTAATATTACTCATTTCTGGCAGTTGTTGGTATACTGCTGCATCAACAAATATGTTGACTACCTTTGGAAGGAATTTGCAGACGAGAGTTTCCCACCAAAGCTGTATATCTTGGAACGTCGCATAGTTCTTTTTATTATAAATGGACGCTCAGCCTTGGACTTCTAG